GCCTGCCTGCTGCAGACAGGTAAGCAGGAAGGGAGGGAATAAGTTCAGAGCTCCCTTCATTTTGCTTCCAAGTCATTTATTTTAAATTTAAGTTTTTTTACTCAAACTTCCTTCTTAAAATTAAGGTGCATATTATACGCCTGTGCGTGTTATACACCGATAAATACAGTATGTACCCAGCCAGCCCAGTACCATCTTCTTAAAATGTCAGTGGCTCACCATCAGAAATACAGGTGGTACTTGGTTAATGACACTTGTTCAGCGACTGTTTGAACTTACCATGCCACTGAACAAGTGGTACTGACAACTGGTCCTCGAAGTTCTGTTGCAGCGCCCCATGGTAACATGATCACAATTTGTGACCTTCCCTTCCGGCTTCCCAAAAGCAAAGTCAATGGGGGAGCCGGCAGGAAGTTGGAAGTAGTGGTCAAGTAATATCCTCCTCAACAACCTGCGCAGTTCTCATTTAATGATGGCAACCAATGACAATTACCATCGTTAAGCAAGGACTACCTGTGACTTCTTTGTAACCAAATTATTTTAAACTGAAAATAAGAGCATTTAATCCGAAGACCACCCATATGCTTTACCACTGAAGTTATGTATTACTTCTATTTTACACTCTCTAGTGTCTAGGATAAAGAAACGGGCACATTATTTTGTTCCCTGCATTTTAGCTTGAAAATGTGCATCCTTTGACCATGTAAAAGCATACATACTTTAGCAAATAAAACAGAGTTCCTACATACCCATGTTTCAAATTTCAGCATTCAAAACTACAATCCTATATACATTTCCCAGGAGTAAGTCTCATCAAAATTAAAAATAAAATTGATAGCGACATGGCTTGTACTCCAAATTAATAAATCTAGGACTAATGAAAGAAACATATTTTCCTAGTAAGTTCATATAATTTTTTTAAAAAACCCCAAAACAGTATTCTACTATCAATTTCCATCACTTACACTCCTCAGCCATATGTCAGTCAGATCTCTGACTTTTACAGAATGAGAAAAAAGCCTGCAATATGTATTAACAACACGGTAGAGCCAAATTTAACCATACTGTATCCCACATGCAACTTTAAAAGGAAAGGTAGTTCAAAAGTATTTAACTCACTGAATCAGGCCCTGAAAGATACCCAATTTAGAGAGGTCCAAAATGAATATGCTACTGGCCTCTGGTACGTTCATGATAATGTTAATTTTAATCTACAAACACTTGGGTTTTTCCCCCTTATTCTGTGCAGTGCAAGTTGGCAGCCACTGTATTTAAACACATTCTTTTAATATTCAATAAACCTTTGATGAGCTGAAGCATCTGATCACAAGACTACCACCAGCAGGAATTTAAGATGGATTCAAGTGATCCATTCATGCAGCCAATGCAAGTTCTACCTCCATGTAGTTACAACAATGCTTCTGATGTAGATGGGGATATACGTCTTCTTCCAAGAACCTTAAGTTCATCTAACAAAAAACCTAAAGACAGGTTTAGGAATGTTCCCTTGCAGTTTCAGCATCTACACTTAACAGATGGTTTTGATTTATAACAAACTCTTAAGAATTTGGTATCTCAAAGGACAATCTTCTAGGTGGGAAAGCAAGTCAGGATGACATATAAAGCTCCTGGGAAAATAGAGAAATAACTATTCGTATGGATTAAAAGAAATACAAAAACCTTCAGTAATTATGTCCTCCAGTTCAGTGTCCGAGGAGTTGTCTGCATGTTTTGCATTGTTCTGAAGCTCTGGTTCAACACACATAACATTCACAACTTGCCCCTCCAACAAGAGTCTCTTTTTTGCAGGCTGCTCAACCAGAAGAGATGAACAACTTACCTATTAAGAGAGAATGATGAAATCATTAAGCAATGAAAAAAATATGGTTTATCAAGCAGGTGTCTTTGAAGATTTCAAGGCTTTGCTAGTCTTATAGTCTGTTTACTGCTACAAGAACATACAGAGCCCCAGATTAGATGCTTCCATCAATTTCAAAGACAGGCATTAGTGTAGCTGTTTGGTGTCCAGAGGCTATGGGTGAACCAACATGTGGAAGAAAAAATGAAATGAGAGATGGAGATATGAAGAGGAAAAATAGATTTTTAATTTGAATTAATCTTTGCTTATTGAAACTTCCATTTGTGGCTTTGAAATGACATACCACAGAAAAACAAAAATGTTATTTCCTCAACACATTCTGAGCTACTGTTCCACTCCTTTCTTAGGAAGTGGGTTATTTTCTGCTGTCTCTTGCCAGCCCTGACATGCACAGGAAAACGGACCGAGAAAGATAACTATTTGGTTAAGAAAGTAATAGTAACAAACTTTTGGATGAAGCGCTGTATGTGTATAACACACATACTTATACACACAGACATGTATGTATACAGGTATTTTCCGTTTGCCTTTGGATACGCAGCTCTTATATATAATTCTGTAAGCTGAACTGAATGCTTACAGTACATAAGCAGAAAGCTGAGGTATAAATTTAATAATACATAAAGGAGTGCAAATAAGTGTCTTTATGAAACAGAAAAGAACTGAGCCTTAGTTGTATTTGAAAGCCATCTTCAGCAAAATGACAGAAGCACCCGTGCTGCCTTCCCAATGGAAAATGTCACCACACATCTGCCCTGGTGGCTTATCTTCTTTGAGTAACAACCTACACCTGGGGGGAGGAACTGATTTTCACTTGTAAAGGACAATGGAAAGGACTAAGAAGTCAACACGACAGCCACACTTGAACATTCCTTGGCTATGGATCCCGTCTCTCTTGAACCCCTACCCCTGGCATAAGTATTAAAAAGTCTCCAAACAAAAATAACTACAGGCAAATCGGTTTTAAAATATATTTGAAAACGTAACTTAAAAACAATAACAGACATTATGTATGACACAGATCATATTTTGTTTTTAAAATCTCCAATCCAAAATTATTGATGGACCAACCCAAGACATTTATTTTCAAGGTATGCATTTTTCTTCACAGAATCAACATGCTCTGGTTTACAGAGACTTATGGGGAACTAATACAGTCATTGCTAAGAATTACAGGGGTTGAAATCCATCAGAATGCTGTTCATGTTGGGGGAAGGGGGTTTAGACATTTTGCTTTTATGGCTCCTCTTGAGGAAGAGTGAATACACTCAGCATGAGCCAAAAGTATAAGGACTCCTCTCTATAAACTTGTATTTTATAACCTCACATATTTTCTTCTTTTATGGGGTGCCCAACTATCCATGTATTAAGTCTTATATTACAGAATTTGATGGGTAGGAACACTAACCTTTCAGGCAGAGATTGTAGGAAGAATCTATGGTGGCAAAAATTCAGAAGGAATTTGGTAGCATCTTTTCCAACTAACAAATTTTATTAAAAGGCACACAGTTTTGTTAGCTGTCTGATTCTTTCCAGTAGAGATAATTCTGACCCTAGCAACTAAGGTTTGGAACACTGCTGGGCAGCAAACTTAAACTCTACTGACTTATCAAGACCAGACAACAATGACTAACAAGACAATTATGTGTAAAATTATTCAGAATAATAAAGATTAGATAAGCAAAAGCCCCAAATAACCATAATACATTGCCTTTTAAAAGAAAAATATCACACATACAAGGCGCAACAATGCATTTTACACTTACAGGAAATGGTTCTAAACCCTCTTGGATCACAAAGCCCTCAATAACATGAGTCAGGATTTGTGGTTTAACGATAGCCTGTGGAAGTTTGTTTTCTATACTAGGGTTTCTATTGGACATTGATGCGCTGTTAGTCCTTGTTGCAACTGCTGGAAGCAAAAGAGGTGGCTGTGGAATAGAGGCATGTGAAGGGTCTGATGGTGATTTAATTACAGATGCGCTGACTGATGAAGCCATTGAAGGATGTCCCTCTTGTTCTGGAAAAAAAGTAATGTATGTTTTTTAAATAACTCAAATATCTTCATAATTATAGAAAGCATCACTTTTATTCATAGCTTGGCCACTGCAGAAGTCTCTTCCAGTATTTATTTTATCAACTGACAGATAATTTTGGAAAATGAAGAAGATCTGAGGGCCACATCAAAGCTTCAGGGAGTGTATAGCGATGCCTCCCCTTAATTTATCCTTGAGCAGGCAACCTATGGTTCTCTTGGGACTTTGCTGCCCTCATGAGGCTGTCCATATCTCCCCTGCTTCCTTTTAACTTACCTGTTCCAGCAAATTTACTTACCCATTTGCAGCCACTGCTAGATTTCTAGAAGGTTCTACTTCTGCAAGACCCAGTAACTATCAAATCAGGCTTCTTTGGAAGAGAATATATGTAGCTCAGGGTTGAACTGTGGAGTCCCCCTTGGGTCTCGTCCCTGTT